TGATGGTTCTAATCAAGCTAACCATTCTAATCGTGCTTATGGTTTTAGCCATCTGGATCATTCTAACAATGCTAACCGTTCTAACCATGCTAATGGTTTTAGCATCATGATGGTTCTAATCAAGCTAACCATTCTAACCGTGCTAAAGGTTTTAGCCATCCGGATCGTTCTAATCAAGCTAACCATTTTAACCACGCTAAAAGTTGTAACACAGGAAAACATCAACAGACTTTTTGATACCAAAACACTGCATTCCTTAAATCAATACTTTGGTATAACGGAGCTTGAGAAAAACAAACTGACCCATAAAATAAACTGGGAATATGTAGACTAGATATTATGTAGCGGTTCTAGAAAAAGAACCACTGTAGAAAGTTGGAGGACTGAAGGTGTTTGAACTGTGTACTGGAATAAGCTGGCGAAGGTGATAGAGCCAGTGACCTTAAAAATGTTGACCACATTTTCTGCCATTGAAATTAACTGTGCTGTTGGTCGCCAAATCAGGAGTGGATGCTGATGAAGCGTGATTGCAGCTCTAGGACACCATTAGCTGGCTGCACATAAAGCACCTAGTGGCTTTTTACGAGGGTTACTTTAGTTACATTGAAAATGACAGAAACTTTTAATTTTTAAATCAGCGGGTCACCTTTCCCACGCGACAGACAAACTGCATGCCAATGATGATGTCCATGATAAGATGGAAGGAAGGAAGAAAGCGGACACTGTCCGGCCCAGCAAACAGCTGCTGTGCTGGGATGGACAGGTAGAGGTAGACCTGGAGGAAACACCTTCTCTGTTCTCATCTCCAAGCGTGCTGATGATGTCACCGCTGTCAGGACAGTACCCAGAAAGCCCTGGCTGAATCCTGAGGTGATGCCTCTGCTGAAAGCTATGGACGCCATGTTCTGGATGGGTGAGGCACTGTTTTCTCCAGTGACCTGGAGCACCAACACTTCCTGTCGGGTCAGGGAAGATAATCAGGATCTCCAATTCCCCGGAAAGCTGCAGAGAGCTGGACTGTGGAGCTCAGACCAGAGGAACTATCATCTCTGTGGTGAAGAGCATCCTCTGCAGAGGAAGGGAGCTCCACCCATCCTGCACACTCACTGTTCCAGCCTCTCACCTCAGGCAGGCGGCTGAGGTCAGACTACCAGTCTCCACACCCCAGGAATCATAAACAGTTTTCTGCCCCTGTACGGTAGAGCAGTGGATTTATGGAGCAGTGGCGCCCAGGTGCATGTCTCTGTTCATGGTGACTTCTCTAAACGCTCTGCTGCAGATGTTTGCTCACAGCAGTTTGGTTTTCCTGGAGCGGGAATCTTTTCAGGAAGATGTCTGATTCTTACTTTACTCTCTCCTTGGAGTCTCCAAAGGTCTCTTTGAGGAGGTTGAAGTCGGGGTAGTAATGCTGCGAAGGGGAGACCACCTCCAGGAGGCCGGACTGCACTTCTTCAGGAAAACTAGCAGATGAGAGAACAGAACAACAGGAACATCAATCAAAGGCTTTCTCCTTATACCTAAGCTGAGAACATGATGTAAAGTCTGAACTTTGACTAGGCCATTCCACACACACCAATAGTCTGTGACTGGATTAAAACATTAGCCCCATTTCCACTAGACTTTAAAAACTGCCCAGAGATCGCACCAAGCTTGGTAGCCCAGGTAACTGTTGAGTGTGAATGGCGCAGAACTGAACCGGACCGTTCCAAACCGTGTTAAACTGGTACTGGTTCATCAGTAGGGCTCGGCCCGGTTCAGTTCTGGCTCGGTTCTCAATGAGCAGACCACCTCATCTCCTTACAGTCAGCCTCTGTAATCTTTCCAAATAATCCTAGCTTCCCTAGCGTGCCGCACGATGTTCAGTGATGATTCTGCTTAGCAGTCTGATGACGTCGTTTCCTGCCTCTGGAAGCCCTGATTTGACTATCGTTTGTCGTATCTACTTCCCAAAAGCCGACTCTGTCAAAGAAATTCACCATAGGCTGCTTCGTTCTTCGCCTGACTCTCTGCAAACTTCCTGAATGTTATGGGCGCCGCCATGTTGGTTTGCTTGTTTCCCTCTAGAGAGCCGTAGTACCGTAGATCGCCACTAGGAGGCGAGGAACCGCGCTAGCGTGGTGTGGAAACGGTCGTAAAGGAACCGAGCTCGACGCAGATCGGTTTCAGAGGGAGTGGAAATGGGTCTATAGTATCTGAATGTTGTGGCTGGTTCTATAGCTGGATGGTCTCAGGTTTTCCCCCTGGATGGTCCTGGATTTAGTTCCTGATTCCCTATCCCTTAGCATGATGCCCCCTCTGCTATGTTCTGCCATGTACCAACTGCAGAGTCCTTCACCCCAACTTAAACTTCTCTAGAGCTTTACCTCTGGTCCATCTACTGGCTTCCTTGGTCTTCCTGGATCTGGTTGGTCACTCATGTTCTCTAACAAACCTTGATTGGTTGTGCTGGGGTTTATTTAAGACAATAAGAACCAGCATCATTCTTTCCTCCTGCTCCTTCTTCATGTTAGTGTTGTCCTGCTGAATAATGCTGGTAATAGAGGTTTAAACGGTGTAAATACCACCATCCCTGTTGGGGAATGTGTGGATTCAGCTGGAGGTGGAGAGTAGTCCTAACCACTAGTGTAACTTCCTGAAGGACTGGTGTGGACATGTCCCCACCAACTTTGGGCATGGAGGGGACAGTCCCCACCAATAATTTCCACTTTTTCCCTCCTTTCTGCTGATTTACTTTAGCCAACAGTAACTGGGTGCAGCTGTCTGTGTTTTCACTCCATGTTTTTTCCTCGCTCTCCCGCTGCTCTCCAGTCCCTCCTTTCAGTGAAACATCATCAGATCTGTTGCTTTGGGACATATTATTTGGGGTCATTCACTGCGTACAGAGCCGCTATGTGGATGAGAAGATATACCCGATATGGAAAGCCATTTTAACATACAGTTGGTTTCGTCAGAACAACTATGGCAAGCCGTTTTATAATGAAAATAGCAGCAGCACTCAGTGAATATTAACCAGCAGCTACTCCGATATATGTTTAAGTAAAAGTTTAAAAAGGTTTAGTTAGTTACACATACAGACCTTTTTCAGCTAAAACTGGCAGCAGATTGTACATTTATATAAGTTAAAAAAGCTGGGCTTCTCAAAAGACCATTACTCAGAGTTAAAGATTACATAAACAGCTGTGCAGCAACCCAGAGACAGCC